ATATGGTGAGACTGTTTTAAGTGAAAGAAGTTGTCGTGAGTGGTTTCAAAAGTTTAAAAACGGTGAGTTTGACGTGGAAGACAAAGAACGTAGTGGAAGGCCGAAAGTGTACGAAGACACGGAAGTATTATTGGAGGAAGATTCGTACCAAACGCAAGAAGAACTTGCACTTACATTAGAAGTGACTCAACAAACAATTTCACATCGTTTAAAATCGTTGGAAATGACTAAAAAACAAGGAAATTGGGTTCTATATGAACTGAAGCCGAGAGACTTTGAACGCCGATTTTGCACGTGTGAAATGCTGCTTGCCAGGCATAAAAGAAAGGGTTTTTGCATCGTATAGTCACTGATGATGAAAAATGGATCTACTACGATAACCCAAAGAAGAGAAACTCATAGGGACCACCTGGCCATGCTTCAACATCGACAACCAAACCGAATATTCATGGAAAAAAACTCATGCTGTGTATTTGGTGGGATCAGCTTGGTGTCGTGTATTATGAGTTGCTGAAACCGAGCGAAATCATTACTGGAGCTCTCTACCGAACACAATTAATGAGATTGAGCCGAGCACTCAAGGAAAAACGCGCCCATTACTACTCCAGACACGACAAAATTATTCTCCTACATGACAACGCTCGACCACATGTTGCAAAACCGGTCAAAACCTATTTGGAAACACTTAATTGGGAAGTCCTACCCCACCCGCCGTATTCGCCAGACATTGATCCTTCCGATTATCACTTGTTCCGGTCGATGGCACATGGCCTGTCTAAGCAGCGCTTTACATCATATGAAGATACTAAAAATTAGGTCGATTCGTGGAGAGCCTCAAAAGATGAAGAGTTCTTCCGACGTGGTATCCGAATGCTGCCAGAAAAATGGGAAAAAGTAGTGGCTAGTGATGGACAATACTTTGAATAAAACGTAATGTACCGTTCTTTCACAATAAATTCCTAATTTTTGATAGAAACGGCGGAAACTTATTTGTACTCCTAATAATTAAAATAAAATAAGGGTGTTTAAAATTTTATACACATATAAGTTGAGTCATTTTAAGTGACGGCAATGATTTTTTTTCGAAAACCCAGTTGTATCAAAAAGTGTTTCATATAAATGTTTTATGATTTCAAGAGGAACATAAAATGATGCCATTGGTTTGATTTGGATGTACGTGCCAAGGTCATATAGAGGTTAATTTTTTTTTAATAAAACCTATTTTTTATTACATATTCTTGTAGCTCTTTTTAAGACCTTCTCAAAACAGTCATACTTGTTACTTTTTATCAATATTTATTTTTCTTATTGCCACATTTTTGTTACCAATATTACAATAACATATAATATTATTATATATGAATAATTTGGATATTTATTATTAGCTTAATAAATAGCTTAATTAATTATAGATATTTGTTATTTTTTAAATAAAAATCGAAATCTCTAGCTTGACTAGCTGACTTGACAATATCTTTTAATATTTCTAAAAAAAACTTCAATCTAAATCGAAGATATAAATTATATTAAACAAATTATATTAAACAAAAATTTTTTTTCAATTAGCGAATTTAACATTAAAAAAGTCTCAAACCAATGAAGATTTATTTCATTTACTTTTCCAGAACTCAGAGCTTAGTCAATTACGTAAAATATTATAATTATGTATAGTAATATTATATAATATTGTAATATAATAATAAAAATGCGATAATAAGAAAAAAAGAACAAAATAAATAGTAATAAGAACAACAAAAATATAACTTCTTTTTAATTGATATATCTCTCCCCCTTCACTGTTGTTATCGTTTCAAATTCTGGTGTGCGACTATATGTAAAATATTACTTTTAATATGTAATATATGTGTGTAAAATTGCAGGTCGATATCTTAAATAGATTTCAAATGCCGATTTTTGTTCATAAAAGTGGGCTCTGCGCAACATTGTGCGACGCTCTCCGATAGCTTTGCGGGACGGTACACGCTTCTTTCGCTCGCTTTCTCGCCGGTCCGGTATCGCTCTGCGCAACACAATTTCTACGAACGCGACACGTAAACGGAACACCGAAAATGTTAGCAGGTGATCGGTCTTACAAATACGGGAATCTCTCGGCGGCGTGATCCTTCTGGGTCGTCGTACAGGTCGCTTTCGCCTCTCGCTCGCAGGTCCCGGCCGCAGGTTCGCTCACGCTAGTCTGTTTGTAGGATCAGCAACGGTCGATGCACTCCCACTGGGTTCCTCGAGATCGAAACACCAAAGTCTCTCCGCCGGGGGCGGAACACCAAACAAGATCTCTTGGCCGGAAAGCAACCACGACTTGCTAATCTCGCTAGAGCGACCATCGAATTTTCTCTCTCTCGAGCGATATCACGGAACGGCTCGCGTTAATCAACAAACGAACTCAGCTCTCTCGTGCGAAAATCGGATCTTTCTTTTCCGGGGTGAAAAAGCGAAATTTTTCCTTTTTCGGCAGCGACCAAAACGAAACGGCTTCTTTCGAGCACCAAACGGAATCTCTTCTCTTTTCTCAAAAACCGAATCTCTCCTCTCTTTCTTTGTCTCTCCTGGCCGAGGGGAGGGGTTCCTCTCTTCTTCCGGTCCTCTTTCTGTCGACACGTCGGGAATCCGCCTGCGAATCGGTATTGTTGATTCGCGGAACGGGTGCTCTATCTCTCTCTCTCTCTCTCTCTCTTCTCTTCTTTGTCCCGCGCTCTTTTTCTTGGGTCTGTCTTGCCGCTGTTTTCTTAGACAAGCGGGCCACGCGCCGTGGTCGTGGTCGGCGAAATTACGCCTCGCTCCTTCCGTCTCCTTCCGCGTTGTCATCGTTATTTGCCTAACAACAAACACGGCAGCGATAATTTCTTTCGGGACGACATATAATTTCCTAATAGGAATCGAGAATAGAGAGCAATCACCTGATCGTGGCGTGCCTGACGATGAGCGACGTCCGTTGAATCCCTCCTGTTCCTCCGGTCCTGCCGGTCGACTCGGGAGATCCGGGGGCACAAAATTGAATTGACGCGAGACTATCTCACCTGCGCGCTCTTAACACTAAAGCTTCCGCTTAAATTATTATGAGTTTTCGAGGAGTCAACTCAGGCTCCCCATTAACCGCACGGAATTTTCCTTCTCCCCCCCCCCCCCGCGTCGTGACCTAGGCTTCGCATTTTAGTGACGGGCGCCTCCGCGGCTGCCACGTCACATCATATATGACAACGTATATACCTTCTCACTCTCTACCTTAACCCCTCCCCATTTTCCGTTCTGCATCTCCTCTTCTAAGTCCGCTATCAATATATTGAATAGCATTAGGCTCAGTGGGCATCCTTGCCTGACTCCCCTCGCTGTCCAAAACTCTTCTCCTGTCTCCTCTCCTACTCTTACTCTGCTTTTTGTTTCCTTCATTACCTCCACCCTGCTTACCAATTCTTCTCTCACTCCTCTCTCCCTCATCGCCTCTATTAATTTCTTTCTATCCACTTAGTCGAACGCCTTCAGATCTACGAACATCACCGTCAGCTTTCCTCCTTTCCTTCTTATTTGTCTGTTGATCAACTAATTCAGTGCGTATACTTGATTCACTAACCCCATCCCCTTCCTGAATCCCGCTTGACTTCCCGATAACAGTTTTTCCCCCCTACCTCTTCCCTCACTCTTTCTGCTAGCACTGCCGTGTACATCTTGTACAGTGCCGGCATCAGAGTTATCCCCTTATGCACTGTGACTTTCTCCCCTTTTCCTTTCTTTATTATCTTTACTATTTTACTTTCTTTACTATTTACTGTTACTCCTTCATTCCATTCCTCTGGCCATCCCTCTCCTTCCCATATCTTCTTCTACATATCTCTCATGCCCATTTCTCCATCTCTTCCCCTCCATATTTCCATACTTCGTTTGGTATCCTGTCTTTCCCCAACGCCTTCCTTTCTTTCAACCTCTTTTATCTCTTCCCTCTCTATTTTCGCCCCCCCCCTCCTTGCTTCTCCCCTTACTACCCTTCTCTCTACTCCCCCTAGCAACCTCATGAAATGCTCCTTCCATTTCCCCATACTTATCTGTTCATTTATTTTCCTTCCTCTCCTCCTCTCTCTTCTTACTATTTCCCACACTTTCCCCTCTGTTTTTCCCTCTTCCGCTTCCTTCTCCCATCTCTTTCTCTCTTCTTCCTTCTTCTTCTCACATAACTTTTTATAATCCCTTCTCTTTTCCCTATACGCCTCTCCTCCTCCCCTCTTTCCTCCTCTCCATCTCCTTAATTCTCTTCTCACCTCTCTTTTCCTCTCTTTACATTCTCCATCCCACCACCCCTTCCTATTCTCCCTTCCTCCTTCCTTCTCTTCTTTCTCCTTCCTTATCACCTTCCTTATCTTTGCCTCCACCATCCTCATCTCCTCCTCGACTTCTCCTTGCTCCCCTTGTATCCTTTCCATTTCCTTTTTGAATCTTTCTCTTCCTTCTCCGTCCCATCTCCCCCTACCATGCCTTTCTTTCTTTTCTCTTTCTTTCTTTCTCTTTTCTCGTTCTCCCTTTATCCATATCGCAATTGAAGTCCGAATCCACTTCCTCCCCTATTTTTATCCTCTCTATCTCCTCTATTACCTCTTCATTTCCCAGTGCATAACCAATTACCGACTCTCCCCTCCCTCCTGTATATGTAAATTCTCCCCCTTCATCTCCTTTCACTCCTCCATTTAGAATTACCCATCCCCTTCCTTTTATAAACTGCACCAATTTCCTTCCCTCTTTATTTACCTTTTTGTCTTTCGAGCATCTCCCTCTTCCTTTCCCTCTCCAGTCCTCCCTTTCTCTCCATCCCCCTTCCTCTCCCGTCCTTGCATTTAGACCTCCCCCTATTATTGTCCTGCTGTCCTCTTTTCTTTTTTCCATCCATTTTTTTATCCCCTCCATTTTCTTCTTTAGATTTTCCCTCACATATAGTCCAATGATTCTCCATTTTACCGTCCCACTCTTATCACCCCTTTTATTCTTCTTTCCTGTTCCTACTCTTCCTCTTCTACTATTCTTAGTTCTTTCTTTATTTCCATCAACATCCCTCCACACGCTCTTCCTTTTTTATTTCTCCTTTCCGCTGTTTGTGCCTTCCATTTGAATTCCTTCGGCAATCGCCCTCTCAGTTTTTCCCATCCTTTCTCATCCAACCATGTCTCCATCATCATGACCACATCCCATTCCCTTATCCTCTCCCAGAACTCCTTATCCTTATTCCACAGCCCTGCCACATTCCAAAACATCACCTTCCATAACCTCTCCTTCTCCTCCCTCTCTCCGCCTCCCCTTAACCTTCTCTCCTCTCCCTCCCCCCTTACCTCCTTCCTCCTTCTCTGTTCTTATTCCTTCTTCATTGTCCCTTAATTTTTCCTCCTTCTCATCCCATTTCCACCATTTCCCCCTTATCTGTATCCTTCCATATTTTACCCATACGTTTTTTCCTTTTCCCCTCTCTTCCCTTGCTATCTCTTTTAGATTCCATCTCATTTTCCTCTCTTTCCATGTTAGGTCGTCCTCCACTTTTATGCCCTTCTCCATTATTTCTTTCCTTCTTCTCATTATCTCTCTTTTCCCTTTTATCCTCTCCACTCTTATTATCCTTCTCTCTGTTTCTGTCTCCTTTCCCCTTCCCATCTTTCTTATCTCCTTAACTTCCATCTCTATTCCTAATTCTCTGATTATCTTCCTCAACCTTTCCCATATTTCTCTTTCTCCTCTCTTTGTGCCCCTTGTTATTATATTCCTCCTTCTCTCCTCTCTTTCCCTCATTTCTATCCTTCTCTCCACTTCCTTCATTCTTTCTTCTGTTCCCTTCTCCTTTTGCTCTATTCCTACCTCATCTGTTTCACTCTCTTTCCTTCTCCTAGCCTCTCCCTCCAGACTTTCTATTCTTTCTCTTAATTCCTCTCTTTCTCTTCTCCATTCTACCTCCCTTTCCTCCATTTTCTTTCTTAGGTCTTCTAATTCCCTCCTTATCTCCTCTCCCTGTCCTCTCACTTCTTCTCTCAGCACTTCCTTCATCTCCCGTATTCCTCCCTTCCCTCATTTCCTTCTTCCATTCTTCCTTTATTCCCGTCCATCATACCACTTCTACCCCACTTTCTCTCCCTCTCTTTTTTGTAGCGATCTCATTGTCCTTCTCCCCTTTTTGAACGCAAACTGCTGTTCCTCTTGTCCTCCTTCCTCCTCTCTCTCCTCCTTATCTCTTTCTTCTTTCTCCCTTTTCCTCTTCAAAATCTCTTCCATCATATTCCCTGACCAATCCCTTCTCTCCCTTTCCGTCCCTACGCCTTTACTCTTCTCCTCCCCCAACTTCCTTCCCTGCTCCGTCATCTTAGTTTATCCTATTTTATTATCCTCCTGTCACGCCCGTTCTTCTAGTTCTTTCCTAAGATCTATCCCCCTAGTTTCTTCTCCCTCACTACCCACTCCCGTCTCTTCTTTCTCTCTCGTGTAGTTTCTTTTCTTATCCTACTTTCTGATTACCCCAGCTTTCCTCTTTTCTACATATATTTCTGTACTCTCTGTCCCTTTTCCTTGCTTCTCTCTTACCTAACCTCTCTTCCTCTTTCTCTTTTCACTCCACTCCTTCCTCTCCTGCCTCCTCCCCAGTTCCACCCACACACTTCCCTTCACTCCACCTCTCCCTCCACCACTACTCTCCCCTCTCGTTCCTCCTTTCTCTACCTCAGTCACTCTTTCACACACGCTTCTTTTCGCCACGCTAGCACTCTCACTCCAGAAACGAAAGTCTCTCATTTGTCTAGTATTTTGTCTAGTATTTTTTGAGATATTTGAGGAAAACTTGATAACTTTTTCAATATTTAACTTACGATATCTCGCTAACTATTTATCGGAAGAAAAAGTGGTACTAGACTTTCTTGCTTTATTTAGTCTCAAGAATATATTGTTACAATAGTGCTCTGATTTTTGTTAATTTGGTAATTTTTAAATTTCCAAAAATCAGTAAATTAACAAAAGTCAAATATCTCAAAAAATACTAGACAAATGAAAAAATGTTTTAGATAAAAGTTGGTCAAATTAACTAGTAGTAGTAAAGTAGAAAAAAGTAGTGTAATAAAAAATGAGGGTTCTCATTTAAAAAACGCAAGTTGACTTTCAAATAACTTTGAAAATAGAGGTTAAGGTCAAAGTCAAGGTCATCATAAGGTAGCTCACTTAAATCCCTATGCCATTTATTTAGATCATTTTCCTTGAATCTTCAATACTGAAGAGTTATTAGGGTGATCCATTATTTTTGGGACACCCTGTATGTGAAGTTGTTAAAAATGTGAGGTTGTTACAAATACTGTCGCTTTATATTTCTCATTGATGCAACAAAGTTTATATATTATTATATTATTAAGAAATATTCAATCGAAAAAATAATTTTTGCGTTGTACAAGCATGTAGCTATTAAAAAATATTCATACCGCTTATATTCCATTTGTTACTTACGCTTAAAAAGTTCATTAAAAGAATTGTATCAACAACCCCAGTCTTCCCTATTTTATGATTTAGAAAAAAATTAGAGGATCATAACATAGAATATCTTCTTTTATCTTTCAAACTTCTTACAAAAGGAATAGAAATATTAAAGAAATTAATAGATAAATATTGGAGTATTCGATATTTCACGCCTTGACTTTTTCGTTTCGCTGATATACTCATTTTCTATAAATGGCAGCTGAGTCACTCGCTCTGAGGGCGCTGTACGTTTTCGTTCTGTATACTATGTAAGGAGGTTGTATTTTTGTAGTTTCCCCTATATGCAAAAGGTATCGCTTGTAATTCTTATGTTCATTTAATATATCTTTTGTGTCGTATTACCTCATATTGTGTTTATTAGTGTACATTAATAACCCTCGTCACAACAGGTTATAGGCTCAGAATACGAAATATAAACATATCGAAATAGTAAATCGTTCATATATGAAAACGTGAAAATTTTTAGGTTAATAATTGAAAAGTCGACACGGACAAAAACAGCATCGTCTAACAGTAGTAAAGGGGATTCTAACCCAGGAGTGCTGAGGGTGACGCGCGGAAGCGGGGAACGCACTGGTGTTTGGTCGTGCTTTGCAGTAGAGAAAATTCATACAGATCCCACGAGAGGAAACTCATACTCAAGTATCGTCCGTTCTCCAAAGTTTTCAGCATGGAAAATTTATTGATATCGTTCAAGATTACACGAGGCATTCGCCATTGTATCTTGAATAGCTCAATCTTAGGATCCAGCGCTGGAGATCCTAGTAGACTGTTGTTGTCGCTACGAGATCGTAATAGAATCAATTCGTGATGCGCGTTAATCACTATACGCTTGTAGTCTTCACAGAATCCTAGCAACACGCTGAGTGGTACGCAAAAGTTGAAGTACCCGTCCGGCGAAATAATATCAGTCGTATCCCACGCGGCATTTTTCATGACAGCATTTTCATCTGAAGATATCGATACATAGTTTTTGAGCATTGAGGTTATTCCCACGTTTCTGTTACGATCAATCTCCACACCATCCAATTCATAACGGATCTCATCAAATATGAATGCAATGCAATTATATCCCAACGTTACAGTCGCATCATCGACTGCAACTTGTTTCGTCACCTTCCCCTCGACATAGAGATAACTCTCGTATGGCAATATGTATAAATCCTGCTGCTGTATGGGTATTCGTATCTCGTCGCTATATCCAAACGTTGTGTTAGCGTATGGATTGTATGTATGTGTCTCAATCTTGACGATGCGATCGTCAAAGACCGATTCACTTCCAATGTTCAAAATGTCAATCATCTTTCTCAATCGTATCGTACGATGAATCTCAAAGATTTCAAAAATTCAACGTTCAACGCGCTGAGTTTTTTTTGAACGAGGAGTTTTGTACTGTTAATCGCGTGTCTCGTAAAAGATATATTTCCAGTTTGTTTCTCCTGTTCGACTTGATTCACTACAAGCATTTCATAGATTATGTTTATTATCATCGCCGTCGTACGTGCAATCTAATGGTAATCTCTTTTCCGCGAAAATCGAGCGATTGTCCTTCTTGATCAACGACACGCACCGTTAAATCTGTAATGCTCCGTACGATGATTGGAAGGTAAATAACACGCGCCGGTGTTTCCGATATCTTATATTCTGGTGGCACCTTAGGCGAGAATTCATGTATCGTATATACACGCATACTGTTACTATACGCACCACTGACAACGCTGCATTCTATACGAATGATATTCACGTTGATAATCTTAATCGGTGCGTCTAATTCGTACCATCGGTGCGGTTCTAATACACGACTCGATGAGAATCCTAAAAGCGAGCCAATGATGTTTGGTTTGCTAAAATTTATTCTATAAGCACATTTTATTTCACTCCTCATCGTATTATTATTGGCACGAATTATTATAGGATATTCATTATCGTCATCTCTATATGGATCATTTTTGGAACGCACTGTTTTTTGAGAATGTGAAATTGCACGTTTTAGATATTCGTATATGGCGCGTAATTCGTACGATCCTTCAGGAATCGTAATTTCTTCGTCGTTAGCACCATAGTAAAATTTATTATTAGATGAATTTACATTTGGTATCGTATTATATGTTTCGAAATTCGTTAAACCAAGCTCATAATCACCGTCGCTCAAATCTATAGCGAGAAAATAGCTCACCGTAAGGATGCTACTCAACGTAAGCTGCCAGTCAACGTAAGCGTTAGCGACATGTTCGCAAACTGCCAAGCGAATACTGACTGCTATTAATGAAATGTCATCATTTAAATCCATATCGATCCTCTACCGTTTAGAGAAACTGTAAGCACAAACATTCGAGAGACGTTCGATAGATGTTCGATAGATATTCGATAGACGTTCGAGAGACATTCGATAAACGTTCGAGAGACGTTCAATAGATGTTCGAGAGACGTTCGATAAACGTTCGAGACGTTCAATAGACGTTCGAGAGACGTTCGATATGAGACAGTAAACGAAGAGTTCGGGGTTCGACTCTGGCCTAGATTCGACTTATTTTTTGACGTATACGTGACGTCATCATACACAATGTAAGAACCTTCACTAGACGTCTACTGGCAACGGGCGACGGTGGTCTAGGAGCTTTGGAGCATTGGGTAGTAACCGCAAGGGCCCAGGTTCGAGTCTACCTACATCCCAGTAGGTTTTTTTCTCTCTGACGTATTCGTGACGTCACACCATCATCTTGCATGACGTCCCACCATGAATTCCCCTTCCCCGCGCGACGTCATACCCCGCGCTCTGAGTTCCCCGCGTCCCCCTTAGCACTACTGGATTAGAATTCCCATAGCTTTTTACTACTTCTAACGTAGTGTGGATTGAACTTTTGAGTAAAAACAATTATGATATGTGGGCCACCCAAATGGAAGCAATTCTCACAAAGAATGACGTGTGCAATTATATATATGTGGTAGTAAAGTGAAGCCCGAGATCATCGGGGGGAATGTAGCTTCAGAGGAAGCGGCGAGAGTTTGGGACAACGAGGATAAAAAGGCTAAAGCGGATATTATCCTGTCAATTAAATCGTCGGAATTGAAGCAGATTAAAGGATGGATCACATCAAGACCTCTCTTAAGCTGGCAGGACCAACTGGGCAGAATCAATTCCGACCTATTGCATTATTTAGTACTTATTTTGTACTAATTTGTACCATCGATAAAAATTTTGTACTATGTGCCGTTTAAAAAGAAACGTAGCGCTGTTAGCTTAATATTAAGCTAGCAGGACCACATTAAAAAAAAATAAAACAAAGGTAGAAATAAAAAGGACTGAATTTGTACTAATTTGTACCATTAAAAAAAACTTAATATATCCAACCAAACTGTTTGAAACAACATCTAATTGAATTCAAATCTGTTATACTCAAGAGTAAAGTGTCTTTGCACGAACAGAATCAATCGTTATTTTTACATAAGAAGCAACATAATTTATACTGTTAAAATATAAAGTTTCAGATTTTGTACCCTCGCCGTTCCTTCGGAAACTATCCCGAACTCCC